ACACAGAATATGAAGAATATTAAAAACATTAGGAGTCAGCTGTCTTCGGCAGTCCTTAAGGTACCAGCACAATAACACACTCAGCAAAATATCGTCTAATTATCGTTATTGATAAAATCCCAGAAAATATCTAGATATAATTTTTTGTCAATATCGCACACCCCTAGAAGTGTGTGAAGCCTTTAGTAAACAGATGGATGTTCTAGGAGTTGAGTTTTACCGGCGTGTTCATCTTCTCGGGCCGCTGCCGATGACGTTCCACACAGTGTTTCTCAGCGACCTTGAATGACCCACATGACCCAGTGACAGAGAGACAGCAGAGGACGAGAAGGGAGCGAGACCTGTGAGGGTTAATTACTGTCTCTATTTCGGTCTCGGTCGGACTCTCACCTTCATTCTCACACATGCTGTTTCTCTCTGCTATCAGCAGAGAGAGAGTAATTACACAATATTCTCACCGTGGGTCTTTTGAAACCACACACACACACACACACAGAGAGAGAAACACAAAGCAGTCATTTCTCTCTGTAATCTCTCTCTTTCTCTGAATCTGAATTTAACACCTCTGCAGCACAACATGACAAAAACATTTCAATGCACGTCCTTTTAGATGGCAAGTCTGAGAAACACTCTGTGTACCTGCAATTACACGCATGCAAACCAACAATCATAAGTTATTTTAAAAAAGCACCAGATAAACACAAGCAAACAACTGCCACATGACTAGACTTGTGCTGGTATTCGGTAATGCGATATATCACGGTAATGAATATGCACGATATTGTTATCGTGGGCACTTCTAAATACCGTCTATAATTATATATTACAAATTATTCAGAATTTTGAATGCATTTTAAGAATACTTCTCCCACCAGCTGGTTACAATGCATAACACCTCTGTATGCTGCGTTAAAGATGCATGCGCACTCTTATGTAAACAAGCCCCACACGGATGAGAAGCGCATGGCAGAACAAGTGAAGGAGACGTGTGTCAGTTCTGTGTTCCTGTGTCTTGTGTTTTCCTA